AAATCACAGAGGAACAATGAACCTGTCTGATTTTTTGTTTTTATCAGTTACAGTTCCATCATCAAAGCAGACAACAAGAAGCGGCAAGTGAGCAATCAAACGGGCCGTCCAGGAAAGAAGCAGCAGCGATGTTTTATCTCGGGGCACGACAGTCGACACACGGATGTTTAACCTCCAAAGACAGACTGGTGTGCCGGTGATCACCAAAATCACCCACAGTGTATGCAAACAGACGACTCGTCCGAACCCACGGCTGGCTTCCGAGAGACAGATCACTTCAGGCTCTCCGGACTTACCGAGCTAAGCTAAGCTTGCCGAGGGAGGAGATGGATTGTGAGCGAGGAACATTGAAAAAAAAGAAAAAATAATTTCCATCAAACGTTTAAAAATACACATTGTTATGGTACTTTGCATGAAGTGTCGAAATCGATGTTAAGAAACGCCAATGAAAATATCCAGTAGAAGGTATGCATGTAGACCCAACGTTATACAGATAAAAAGGTGACGTGTCGCTGGATATCTCTAAACCGTCTCGTAGATATATCTTTTTTTTTGCCTCATAACCCTTTGTGCCGTGATAACCAGTGTGTTGTATGACGTCAAACGGGTGTGCCTCCAGCTGCTAGCGGGCGCCTGTTCAGCAGAAATTTCCGCCTCTGTGGACAGCTCCGGTGACTGCCACGCTGACAGGCGGCACTGGGGTGAGCTCAGTGGTGTGTGATGAGAGACGGCCCCCCCCCCCTCTGTCCCCCTCCTCTCAGACACACAGACGTCACCCGGGTGAGGTCAGAGAGGTGTAATGAGGGATGGCGGCTCCGCTAGCCTCCTCTTTCTCCCTCGCCTTCTCTCTCTCTCTCTCTCTCTCTCTCTCTCTCTCTCTCTCTCTCTCTCTCTCTCTCTCTCTCTCTCTCTCTCTCTCTCTCTCTCTCTCTCTCTCTCTCTCTCTCTCTCTATCCACTCTCCCGTAAGACTCTAGGCTAAAGCCATGAACGTGTGAAGATGATTACCTCCCATGTCGGATAAAATGTAAGATATTTATTGTTTCTAGAAAAAAAAAACTTATCAATGCGCCGTGCCTGGCGAAAAGAAAAAAGCCGTATTTCCTTGGCAGATCATTTTTTCTTCATGATTGTACTGGCAAGAGATATGGTCGATGCTGGAGTAGAAATATACTCATCACTCATATCGTCATCCTCACTCAGCCGCAGCTGAACTTCATATAGAGTTGCTTGTGGCTCAAGCAGCCCTCGCAGTCAAAGTGTTATGAGATGTCCATTTTACTCCATTTAGTCTAACAGCATTGACTGAAAGTTAGCGTCTATTCTCTTGGCAACCAAGAGGCTGACTCAGTCTGCATTTGTAGATGCGACCAGAAATAAATGTGTTGAATGTACCGTTTCTCTTACCACTTGATCCTAATTCCTATGAACAATTAACAGCAGCCCTCCACAATGCTAATTGCGGAACATGTAAGAAGTTGCATAGTTACGACTTATGCATCATCGCGCCAGTGTAATTTGATGTGTTACAGTGAGCTTAGTCTGAGCCTCTGGTATGTGGGCATACCGAAAATAACGACTGTGGCAGCTAATTCAGTCGGACTCTGACCATCGCTGTCACTCAGACAGTGACAGGGCAGACAATCTCAGCAGGCCTCACGGCCAACCAATTCCAAATATTCCACTAGAACATATGTAGTGAGTGTGCGCTCGTGGCAAAACGGCAGAGGCTCTGAGCTCATCGGCATGTGTTGCATGGGCTGTCTGTCCATCAGCCTCTGTGTATTTGGATGGCCGTCTGGTTCATGATTCCGTGCTCTCTCGCCAGGCGACGCGCTGGCTCACCTTCCTCGAACTATCCGCCGGCCTGGCAGCGCGGCGGCTGGCAGCGGGCCCTACACATTCGGCGTAACTGGCCTCGGCGGCGCCCGTCTCTCAGCAGGGTGGCGTCACCGCTGGCAGCGGGCCCTCTCGTCTCATCACACGACTGACATGAGCGGCAGGCGGGGCCGCACTGACCACACCTTCGGCGAACGGCGGCGGCTCGAGCGCTGCCTGCGCAGTACGCACTGCGGGTGTGCCCGCGACCCTCCCCTGATGCCTGTCGGCCCGTCACCGTGTGCGCTGTGTCTGCCCTTGTGTACTGACCGGCACCTACATACACAGCAGTTCACGCTGTGCCAGGCCCGAATACCGCGCTACGCCACCTGTATCATGCCCAAACTGGCTTGTTTGGGCCACCCTCCCCTTATTCTCAGAGGTGTATACCAAAATGAGCTTATGCCGATTGAGCGCAATCGGCCCGACTGTCCTGGATATATATGTAGGAGCGACCCATAATGATGCTGATGTGATGTAGGGGAGAGTGGGGCACAGTCGTGCAAAAAATGGATAAATCCATATATCTGTTCTTTGGTTAGTGCAACGGCAAAATTGTTGATTATAGTATGGAAAGGAACTATTGCAGACATTTTTCCTCTATTTAACCCTCGCCCACACATGCCATTTTCCATGCCACTTTCATTTTACTTTCGCCACTTTCGTCTAAATCGAATTCGATTTAGCCCTCGCCGGACCTATTGGTTTTCTACATACGCGCCGGCCGAGGGGGGGGGGGGGGCGGGTACGACCCCCCCTCGCCGTTTCGCCCCTGGTGGAGCTAGAGCGTCGCGGAAAAACGAGCGTGTGCGCCGTTACGAGACGCAGAGATTGGTACCCAATTTTAAGGTCCTAGGTCAACCGGTGACCTCTGAGGTCAGGTCAAGTGCCCCAAGGTACGGTTCAGTTTTTGGTGAATAACTTCACAAAAAACGGCCGCAGAGCCGCGATTTTGGCAGCATCGTGTTCGCCTCGCTCAGGCGCGTCGAATGATATACTTTTTGTTCGGGTCAGGTCAACTTGGGGTGTTGACCTCAGGTCAAGGTCAGGTCAGCACCCCAAGGTCACGAAGCTGGTCAAACGAGGTCATGTCGCATATCATTCGATTCGGCAGGTCTTCCTGAGTCCATTGGTGGCTTCCCCGACTCGCTAGCTCAATTTGATCAGGAGTTATTGACGAAAAACTAATATGACCTTGATGACGTCATAAATGACGTCACACAAGGTCAACATTGCAAAAGTGACGCATCTAACCTTGCAAGGAGTGCATCAAATCACGATTCTGTGTGCCTGAGATAGTTGGAGATCATTCCCGGCGCCAGAATAACAGTTTTCATTTTTCCCCATTGACTTATAATGGTGAGGTCACGAAAATGACCTGACCTCATATGACCTTTAGGAAAAATCCGAGATATACAAGTTGTGAGACTCATAATGGATACTAGATCCTGCAAGTTTCATTTCCCTGTGACATCTCCTCTAACAGTGAGGGCGTTGCGAAGTTGCGACATCTGAAGACCGTGCAGAGGTTCACTTATGACGTCATAGGTCAGTGACCTGACCTGACCTAAAAATGCGGTTGGTGTCAAAAGATGCGGCTTGGATCAAAAGTCAGGTATGCCAAGTTTCAGCTCTCTATCGCCAGCGTGTTTGGAGCTATCGCGAAAAACCCCTATGGGGGGCGGCACCCGCCCCCCCCCCCCCCCCTCGGCCGGCGAGGGTTAGACGAAGGTCTGCGACCGAAATATCATCAATTCATCAATAAATAATCATTTTCATTTATTTTGCCATTTTTGGAGGAGAAGGTCATATATTCTAATGATATTTCCTACATTGAGCGACTAAACATTATATTCAAGCATTGATAAACAATTTTTAAGTAGAGAAGCCGACTAGCATAGTCTGATGAGTAATGAAATCCATTGGTAAATTTCCATGATATTGTGCGTTATTTTTTATATCTCTTCTGATTTTACAAATACCTAATATTTGATAAGCATTTAATTCCATCATTCATCTGCAGCATAATTAAGGACGTGCCCCACAAAATAAGTGTATTGCGAATGAAAACAAGCTGTGACAAACCATACACGGTGACTCAGCATCTACAAACGAGTTATTAGCACACAACACTTCTTTTTTTAGTTGAATTCGAAGGTTCAATTATTTCCTTCAAAGGCTAAAAATAGGATAGGATAGGACCAGTATAACGCCTTTTGGGGCGACTAACGGAGCGAGCGAGAGGGTGGGCCTTGCACGTGCGAAATTGCGAGGGGGTACCTCCAACTGACTTGTGCACGGCACCCTACTAACTGGTCTCTAGCGATGTGCCAAATTTGGGCACAATCGGCCCAGCCGTTCTCGAGATCTGGAAGCGGCACCCTGCACGTGCGCACGTGCAAAATGGGTCCCAACTGACTTGTGCACGGCACCCTACTAACCGGTCCCTAACTGTGTACCAAATTTGAGCGCAATCGGTCGAGCCGTTCTCGAGATCTGGAAACGACCCCTGCACGTGCGCACGTGCAGCAGCGCCCCAACTCTGGCACATGTATATGCAGTGCCTAGTGGGTGCCTACCTACATGCCAACTTTCAGCGCAATCGGCCAAGTAGTTACCGAGATATTGCAACAATTACAAAAGTGACACCTCTTCGTTTTGCACGTGGCACGTGCATAAGGGGTCACCCACATGCATCGGGAATAGTCCAATACTTGGTAGAAGGAATGAAGCTACCCTACAAAAATTACCGCGTGTAAATCGGTCAAGTGGTTGCTGAGATATAAGCCTCGCAAAAGCGTGACCACGGCCGGCCGGCCGGCCGGCCGGCCGGCCGGCCGGCCGGCCGCTCATACTCAGAAATTTCCGTTAATCTAAGGAAAGACTACGCTCGCTTCGCTCGCTCCGTAATAAGAAAAAAAAAAATCCTGACTAAATAAAAACACAACAGATAGCATGTTATGACTTTCAAACACCGAAAATCGAAGTGTTGAGTGCTAAAGAGACGGGTTATAACACATGAAGGCGGCGGAATCTCGGGTCCCCGTTGTATACATACAAAAAAGAAAATGCTGCCAAGCCCACGGAAAACGTTTACAAAAATCAAAGTTGCCTGTTAGAATAAAAAGGTTGCGAAGAAACGATTGAAATAAATGTGCTGGCGGATTTTATCTTTCCGCTCCATTTGTCAACCACAAACGGCAATGTGTAGAAAACCAACCACCAACGATACTCATGTTAAAGAATAGAATGCAGTTGAATTTTCGCTAAGAGCACCGTTCCAATGTTTCTTATGCACTAGGGTATTGGTCCATCGACTCTAGAATCACGGGATCAAATCGGTTATCCAGGATCAAGCTGATCAAGATACAAGAATCAGTATTCCGGCGCTTGTTTGGTCGCTAGGATCGGCATTTATGGCACATTTAGAGACAGTCGGGGCGGTAGCAGCCGTCTAGCTGGCAGACGGCAGGGAACAACCCGCTGTCGCATTGGAGTTCTGCCCAAATGATTTCGTCAAGAACGATGCCAATATGCACACACCAGTTATCAACGGGATTAGGCTCTACGCCGGACGGCCAGCTGGAGAAATTACCAACTGGCCCGCATCCATCTTCGCCCACATAGGCACCCTCGCTCGAGTTGCCGCGGAAACCCATCCAGAAGAAGTTCGGCACCGTCAGCGCCGGACTGGCAGTGCAATTGTTCTCCTCTGCGCTCCTGGGCGTGGCGAGATGGGCGCCGAGGCTGGCGCACCTCTCCGCTGCCGCCTCGTAGAAGAGCGCTTCGGTGACAGCAGTATAGCAGCGGCCGGCACATCGGTAGAACCCAGTCGGGCAGGGGCACGTGTTTTCACCATTATCTGAAAAGGACGGACGAAACATGGTTGAAATGAGTACGATAATGTCGGCGAAAGCGGTGTCGTTGAAACCTTAACCTGTGCCTTAACCCTCGCCGGCACAGGGGGGGGGGGGGGGGTTGATGCAACCTCCCTTAACCCGCGCCCCACTGGGGGGGCTATTTATAGCCCCCCTCCCGTTTTTTCTGCAATAACTTCCAAACCGCTTGACGTATCGACGCCAAACTTTCAGTACCTTCGGCTACATCCATTTGACACCTTGTGTCAAAATTTTAACTTCGTACCTACCATAGGTCGGCCGGAAATGACGTCAGAGTGGCGTCATGTTCGGCCGATTTCGACGCAAAACATTGAACCACGGCAATCGCTCCCAAGAGCTCAGTTTTTAAGCTAGATCCAATTTATTTGCATGAGGGGACTCAGAATAGACTGCGCTATCAAACTGCTATCTAGGATTTTCGAAATTTTGAAAATTTAAAAAAAAAATCAAAATTTATATTTTTATATTTTTTCAAAAAAATTTTGACTTTTCAAAAAAACAGGAATATATGTGATAGAACGCATTATTATGACTAACTCTAGCAAGTTTTAGCTAAATATCTTCAAAAATGGCCAAGTTATACGCATTATTGCAAAAAATTAACAATTATTAATTTTTCAAATTAATTTTTCAGCACGAATTTGACATCGTACGCCAATATAAATAGCACCATCGTGTTCCTGAGCTCAAACTGCATCCAATCGACACCTTTTTTGTTGAAAAATTTTAACTTCAAAATTTGACCTTTTTTTACCTGAAAGTGACCTGATCTAAGCTAAATTTGACTCAAAATGACCTCGAATGACACAGACGACATCAAATTCGAAATGTTTGGCCTAAATGGACCATAAAACATGTGTCACGTGACCGACGGATGATAAAATATTTTCGTGACCTGTGATGACCTGACCTTGACCTGAAAATCAAAGTACAAGTTTGGTACCCTCAGAGTATCTAGAGCATCCGCTCACGAGTGTGTGAACAAAAAATGAGCCTGATCTGACTTGTAAGACGGCGGCCAGAGCCCAAAACGCATGAAGAAGCCAAAATGCTAATAATTTTTACTTTGAACTGACCTGTGACGTCATCGGTGACCTCGAGGTCAATGAAATTAGGTTTCGCTCGACAGTTTTTCCGGGGCTATCAGATGGCGTTTGAATTTCGACGATCGGCCTAGTAGTTTCGGAGTTAGGAGGGGGGGGGGCTATTCATAGCCCCCCCCCCAGTAGGGCGTGTTATACGCAGACCCCAGTGGGGCGCGGGTTAAGGGTTTTCGCGAATAACTCGCGTAAAAAGTGGCCGATCGCGACGAAACTTTCAGTACCCTCGCATTTATGAATTTTACACCTATCCTAAAAATTTCATGACCCTGACCAAAATGACCTTTGACCTGTGACCTACTTTTCCGAGACCATGTTTGACCAGAATCGCGATTCGGCGTATGTCGGCTCGCATTAGCCGCGCGTTTGCAAGCTTTTCGTGGTTTCAAACGTTCAATCATGTGATTTGATGTTGCTCCCATGCATTAGGTGGATGTCAAGGTCACCTGAAGGTCAGGTTAGGTCACTGACCTTTGGTAACCTCGGCTCACTTTTTCGAGTTTTGCATGTTTCTTGGCTAGTTTTTGGAGCTGAATTCGAATTAAGCAGCCATGTGAACATTTACGAAGTAGTTTTGGTGCCTTCGTAACATGTTACGTAGCTGTCAGAGGCGGTTGACACGTACTACAAATACCCGTCACGGTTGACATGACCTGACCTGACCCGACCTGGTCTAAATGCTTAAAGACGTCATCTGTGCTCAAATCTAACACGATATTCGTGATCAGCACCCCGAAAAAAAACAGCAGCTACACTCTACAACTTTCTAACAGGTCCTGATTTTTCCGACTTTTGGGTCATTGGCCTGACCTGGAAGGTCAACCGATTATTTAGGACCTTAAAATTGGGTGTCATCGGCTTCATCTCGTGACGGGCAACACGCTCGTTTTTTCTGCGAAGCTCTACCTCGATCAGGGGCCAAACGCGAGAGGGGATCGTACCAACCAACCAACCCTCCCCCCCCCTCTCTTGTGCCGTCGAAGGACGCAAAATGGCCTGTGCTGGCGAAGGTTAAATTTTTACCTATACGTTAATACGTTTACGTAGATATACTAGTGCTCTAAGAACAGCTAAAATCATCGTAAGTAACATTGATAAGGAAATGAGTAGGTACCTAAGGGGTGGGAGATGGGGGGGGGGGGTGGAACGGATTAAAAATGAGGTCTGATGAAGAATAGAAAAATGCATCAATGCGGCCTGTTCTAGGAGAGCAAGATGAGCACAAGCCATTGTATACCTATACAACCAATCCTCAACCAGCTGTGATTGACGAGGACGAAACAGGTCGTAAGGCTTTTGCGCCATTATTTACTTACCATCGCAGGTGCCATCATCTCTCGTGAAACACGAGTAGGGACTCATCTGAAAAAAGAAGTTTGTCACTATTTGACTGAGGTGCATCCAACCACACTGTTTGATAGCGTTAATATATTTTTCCAAGAGGGCAGTGCCAATATACCCTTGGATCAAGATAACTTCCTTGGATTACTCAATAAAAAAAGGCGAAACATTTAACATTTTGTGCTGGATCACCTGTTCTACATGGGTGACATAAGCAACCAAAGAACGCAGCTCAACAGGCGATGACAATACAATGACGATGTAAAATCAAAATGACATTATTTGTGAGAAAAAAGCAAATGTCCAACTCTTCTAACACAGCTCAACCATACCGTTGTAGTCTCTCCGCCGCCGTGGTTCGGTCCGTGGCCGCGTCCTCTTCCCCTGCCTCTTCCGCGTCCTCTTCCCATGCTCTTTCCACTCTGCTGGCCGTGCGTCATTAATACCAGAGCAGCAAAAATCGACAGAGCAGTGAGAGCGGTCAGTGTGAGCTTCATCATGACAGGGTGATCGCAGGGAACTTTTTTAAGACAGCTAAATTGAATAGGACCATTCACCCGGACCACTAGGAGGACTGCACTGGTGTGCCCTAGCCCGGTTTCGAGCCCCCATTTTATACCCAAAGCACAGAGGCTGCTCCCTATGATGGTATGTAGGGCGTAGACACAATGTGCTCTGCGCTGCATGTTTTCTGTATGTCATTCAGCGTCAGCTGCAATATATGCCGCCCGGGTCAATAGGATCGCCCACATCATAATAATTGCAATATCCACAATTACATAACTATAAGATCAAAACCTGCTTACGAGAAATGTCCATTATCCCGCGCCCCGTTGAGGTCTGGCAGGTTCCAGGTCCTGTTGTAGGGGGGGGGGGGGGAGCAAAGTCCCTCCCGTGTTCAGTGGCGTAGCCAGAAATCAGCGAAAGGGGGAGGCATAGTGCTCGAGGGGGCGACTTTTTCCCTTGAGAGGGGCGCCATTGTCAGCTAGTGATAGGGGCGTTAGTCTAAAATGTAACGTCATGTTCATGCATGATTTACTAGGTGTTGCAAAATACGAGTATAAAAACCAGGTTTCGCTGATATTATTTGCAGCCCGGTGTTTTTCTTTTCAAAAAAAAAAATCTTGATCCTGAAGAATATTCATAGCACGATAAAGGAAACGAGCTACGGACATTTTATTCTCAAAATACGCATCCATACGATTTCGAAACGGTAAGATATACGTTGATCGATAAGCACAATCCTTATTCTTTGGAAAAAATAAACAGGTTCACTCACTGATCTAAAGTGACCTGTGGATGTTTGTGGTCGACCGTGGTGGCCGTGCTTAGAATCTCAGACCGCACGTATGTAGGATTCACGCTGCGACTAATTGCCCAAATTGGAATCAAGGAAAAACTTGAATATTTAAGACCATGAGATCCACCATGAGATCCCAACTCATTGTCATATCAGCAGCGATTGCAGTCAGAGGCAAACGAATGCTGACATACGTTCTGCATGCTTTTTTTTCTCAACAAATCACCTTTACAATGCGATGTCTAGTGCGCGCAGCCCCTACCTACTTGTGGACATGCATGACTGCATGAGTGCCAAATGGGTGAGGCGTGAGACTGTTTCATATAGTGGCACGAAGGATAAAGGATGTCTTCGGCTGACGTAGTATAGAATACGACCTTTGATGATGTGAGTGTGCTTGATCGACTTTGAATAAGCGCCATAGAAACCTGCTGATCTCACCGAACATTCGCCTTGCGTAATCCCCAAACAAAATATCTACATTGAGGGCCAGGTCAATTTTGTGACCTCTCCATTGCCTATAAGTTAACCCGCGCCGTGCTAAGTGGCCTGTGTTTTCCGTGTCATGCTGGGGGTGGGGGTGGGGGTGGGGGTGGGGGTGGGGGGGGGGGCGAAAACGTCCCCCTCTCTAACTCAGTTCCTGAGCCACGTAGCGACACGCAGTAAGCGGCAATCGAAAGAGCGTCAAAAATAATGACGGAAACACTCAGCTCATTTTCAGCTCAGATCAAAGGTCAGGTCACCAGAGGTTATCAACGATGAAGTTTAGTCAATTTCAACAATTTTGGAAACTGCTATAACGGCTAACTCGGGAACCAATAGAGCTACAGCGCCGCGGAAAAGCGCATTCGATAGCCCTGTTACAGACCTTTATGAATATTGCTCTCAGAATTGACCTCAGGTTTAGCCTCCAGATGGCAAGAACTCCAAAAGTAGCAGTTTGAATGAAAAACGTTTTCTGCAATAACTTTTGACTCAAGACAGTGACGACATTTATTTTGCCAGTATCGTGTTCCTCTCGTCGAGACGCGTCGAATGAGCTATACGTTGCCCTTGAAAGGTCATATTGAAAATTTGACCTCAGGTCAAGGTCATGACTTGACCAGAAAGGGTCATGCTGCATATCAGTCGATCAGCTGAACACATTTGACGTGTTTTCTTCGCTCTAGCAGGTTTCTATCAAAAGTTATAGCCAAAAAACTGCCGGTGACCGTTCATGATCTGAGATGACCCCAGAGGTACACAGAAGGGTCGCATGTGCATTTTTCCGATTCAGTGTGTTATTTTTACCTATGAACCGATGTTTGAGAGGGTTTTGACTTTTGAAAGACATTCGCTCAAAAGAGGCGCATTTCATTTTTTCCTCCCATTGGCGTTCCTCCGTTCCTTCAAAATGTGACTTCCGTTACTCGTTCCTCCGTTCCTCTGCATATAATGTAACGGAAGTTCATTAGTCCGTTACTCCGTTACAGCAAAATAAAAAAACGTTAAAATGTTGTGTATTTCACACATTTTTTAGACCATTCTGACACAAACTAAAGAAAGCGGAATGCCCACCAAATCTACCAAGACAGCGGGCACTGATTGGACACTAAACCTTGGAAGTTGGAACGTCTGGTGGTACTGATGCGCATCACTTGTCCCCGGCCAGATGCCGGTTGCTCTTCACGAACACTAGACGTTCCGGGTTGGCATCTGAGAGCATAGGCGTCGGAACGGGGGGGGCACCGGTGCACCGTGCCTCCCTTTGATTTTGGCATTTTAACATTAGCCCTATGTGCGTTGCATGGAAAGAGCGGGACCAAAAGTCGGCAGTGCCCCCCCCCCCCTTCCCTTAATTGATGATGTTCCGCTGCCACTTTCTGAGACGGTAGCCCTTTTTGCACGTAGCACATCTTTTCCCATTGAGAACATGCACTCTACTGAGGCGCTTGAAGGGACGCCCGTGTTGAACTTTGCGAACACATACTGCAACGCCGGCTCATTTCGGAAGGCCAGTACACTGAGGCCATCTTCCTTCGTCAAGTCAGGGCTGCTCAATAATCCACTATTCCGCTGCTGCATTAAGGTCTGTGGGTTAGCTGAAAGATCAACCCGCTCGGACAACGAAAAGTAACGGAGGAACGAAGGAACGGACTAAACTGTAAAGTGTAACGGAGGAACGAACAACCAATGTAACGGAAGTTACTTGGTCCGTTACCCTTTTTAATATGTAACGAGTCCGTTCCTCCGTTCCTAAAAATTGTAACGGAGTTCCGGAACGGAGGAACGGAGGAACGGATTGTGCCCACCTATGGTTGTCCTTATCCTAAAAGAACGTTCATTTGACCCTTTTTACTTCTTTAAACAAGAGCTCCGTCACGACCCGATGTTTTTTTTTGGGGGGGGGCGAAGGTTGTTTGAAGTCGATTCTTTCCATGCAGCACCCATAGGCACAATGTTAAAAATGTAAAATATTGGGGACACGTCCCCCGTACCCTCCCCCCCCCCCTCCCCGGTGGTGGAGCCCATGGTCTTAAAGGGACCCTCCCACCTTCAAAAAAGTTTATGAATTGGCATGAAAGTGATGTCGCTCGGTTCAGAAAGAGCGAAAACGAATATCTACCAAATTTCACCGAAAAATATTCACCGGTTTTCAAGATATTAGACTTTTACTTTTGTTTACTTTTTGGGATCTCCGCTGTTCCTAGCGACTTTATCTAAAAGTGCGGCATTTGTTGCGCGCAACGCAGCATATACCACCGCGTGCTACAAAACGTTTTAATCAAACATTTAACGGACGTTCGAAAGCCTGATGACGTCATCAGATTCCCGTAATGGTTAAGAGATAGGGACCACGCTGGTCCCACCCTGCAAGTAAAGGGAAGAAATTTCTTGAACACCATAAAGCTGCGGGGGTTGCGACCAGGATAAATGGTGGTTTCTGAGCCTGGCCGCAAACTTGGCTATCTCAACTCAAAACTAATGTTAAGGTGGGAGGGTCCCTTTAATTCCGCTCGCTGAACCGTTTAATATTCTTTTGTCTCGTTTGTGCTTATTATTTTTCCGACTGTTATTATTTTTTCCGACTGTTTTTTAATGCCTACACACATATTTTCGTACACTATTCGATTTCAGCGAGCATTTTCAACCTTTCTTACAGTTCTGGCGCGAGTTCGACCGGGTGAAGGGTTGCTCAGCCGGCTCGAAGTCGGCACTGACCACTACGAGGCCTCGATGCAGCGGCTTAAATCATGGCTAAGCCGAGTTCAGGCGGCATGCTTCAGCACAAAAGGTTTGTGTTTCATTATCTGTTCATTTTTACACAATAAAATAAGGAAAAGCAACGTAAATGGCAATTAAGTATGTGAACGTGCTTCAATATTATACATGCATCAATACAAACATTAATTGCGTGTATCATTTGTACATTAACTGATGAAGATTATTATTATTATACACTGTGATTATTATTAAGATTATACAATACATTATATATATAACATAATTTATAACATAATACATTATATATATATATATATATATATATATATATATATATATATATATATATATATATATATATATATATATATATATATATATATATATATATATATTAGATTATTAGATACCGCGGCGAGACGCGTTTGGACGTGACATAATTATTTCCATTACTGTTAAGTATAACACATTTTATGTGATTGTTTCAAGTTGATTTTAATATTGGACGCCCATGGAAGTGTTTTGCGAGACTAAAACCCGTCTGTTAAGGTGACCATCCCACCTTGACCCGCGCTGTGCTGGGTGGCGTTTTACGCCCCCCCCCCCCCGCCGCCTCAGGTTTTTCGCGAATATCTAAGAACGGCGGCGCGCAGCGCCACCATTTTCGGCACACCTGCTCATACATTTTTTATGCATATGGAAGAAATTTTAGACCCAGGTCGTTCAAGGTCGGGTCACGTCAAATGACTTAACATCAGACAAATTTTCAATGATCGCTGACGATCGCACCGTTCGCAACGTGCCATGGAAACCGTTCGATATTTTTGTCATTTTTGCTCAGGGAATTCACCGCTCGATTTCACACCAGTTTGAGGTAAAATGTCAAAAAATATCGAACGAATTTCATTTTATAGCGTTTTTGATACTGTCCCATGTCTCAAGCCTATCAACCTTACGGCATGTATAAAATATATTTGCTAGTGCAATAAAACACCTCATATGTGTTCAGCTTGACGGTTTGGATCGACTG